TTCTCCTTCTCGTTCATTCAATTGCTGGGCTATACACACTCTTTCTACTTTCATCGCCAAACATATTCAAGGTCCTAAAAGTCCCGCTGAATACACCAATCGATGTAGTAAAGGCACTTTTACTTCAGCAGTCGGAGACTGGAGATTTGGACGCAGAACTAGACGACCTTCTACGCAGGCTGTCTTTCTTTGAAATTCGCGCTTTGTATCCTCGTTTCGGCCACAATGTGATCGCGACATGTACATATTGCCGTTCATTCGAGGAATTTGCTCTGTATTCTTTGCCTCGCCCAATCATGTCATATTTGCGCGAAGCTGCATTTAATGGGGTTCGTTCTCAACTATTAAACAATTTGTTTTGAGCTGAACTTTCTTATAGCTTATCTCGACCAGTAGGCGTAGAGTGGCTGTTCTCAGCTTATTTCTCATGTTCGTGCTCGAGGTGTACATTCTCACTACGGTTGAGATAAAAGTTCTTCCGTCACCCCAACCTTTCATGACGATATGGGTGCGTTATTTTTTTCTCGCGAATTACGCATTAGCATCTGAAGATTATCCTCCACCAGTGGCACGACATATTCTTTAACATACGGCGCATTGTATTCATTCTCTTACCACTTGCCGTTCACTTCTCCCCTTCCATACGAATACCCTTCATATCTGGCCCCACACCACCGCCCAAAATCGATACCTCTCTGCTTCTGGTTCAATCCCATCAAGCTATATCACATCTCCTCCCTGCACTTCATCTTCTCAAATATGGACAAGCTGCCATAATGCGCGTTCCGGATCTTCGTGTTCGAGCTTCTTCGTGGTGGGAGGAAGAGGCGAAAGTTGGTGCTTGGATAATGGAGGACGGTGTGCAGGATTCGGAAGGCAGCACACGTCAGAATGTGCGTGGTGTTGCCAGGAGCCTTGGAACGTCATTTGATGAGAGTGGAGATGGTGTGGAGGAGGGTAAACTGCGGACGAATGCGAAGATTATGGCTAAAGTTCTCATGATCGACGCTTTGAAACCGAGTCCGAACTGGCAGCAATAGTGGGTGTAACGGTTTTAAAAGCCAATTTTTACTGTGTACATGTAAGTGTCATCATCTTGTCGCTTTCATTTGCTTTTCTGACAAATGCTAGGTATAGTTACTTTATCGAAATTAGAACTCGAATGGCAATGATTGCAAAAAACGTTGTACAAAAATAATCAGCTAGCCCTAACTTGATGCCGCCGCATTATGAAACAAGAATCCTTCCCTATCTTTGGTAAACGGCGCGGGTCATGCACTCAAATTGGTACGACAGGAGCCGGCCATCAGAGACGACGTCGAGGCCCCCTGGGCGAAGGTACGATGCCCCACTGGCAAGGGTGGATTTGCCGCACGCGTCATAGTCTACGAAATGAGTTGGAGATGTGGTATGAAGGATTGGATGACACATACGACGATAGGGTCCCGGGTAGAGCGAACTTGCTGGGACCTCGAAAGGCCACTTACCAGAGGAACGCTGCCCGTACGGGGGGGCCAAGAGGGAATACTGGTCTGCGTGCTGGGTACCGAAGGTGATGCTACAGTGACCAGTAGGTGCCAAGCCAAGGTGTGGGATGGGATCCTGGCCCCATCCGTCGCTGCCGCTGACATGCCATATCCGATGAGATTGTCAGCGACGTGATGGCCTAGTTGTTCATTATTATTGGAGGTAGTGTGTTCCTCGTTCACATGCTGTTTTGAATATCAGAAAGATCAATGTCCGATTGGAAGAAGCCACATACCGCGTCCCTTTGCGCGCGGGTCTGGAAACCTTTTGTGCAAAACACGCAGGCGGCATGCCCCCGCGTCGCGCGGTAGTGCGCTTGAAGAGCATCCTCAGATTCAAAAAAGTGGTCTCGGTGGTCTGGACACCGAAAGTACATCTCAGGGTGATTTTTGGTACAGTGCTGACAACAATTTACATCGAAATCAAGAGCGAAGAGGAAAAAGAATATAGTGAACTTACATTCCAGAGATGTGTATTGTGGCTGAACTTTTGATGGCACCTGCTACACGCAGGATGTGGTCTGCTCGTGGTGCGAAGATGCTGTTCGAGCGCAGAGAAATTTTTGAAAACACGACGAGTCGGGGTCTCGCCCTCCGGACTTGCTCGAACTTCATAGCAGCAGCATGTAAGGCTACGAGAACGAGAACTCATGTTGGAGGGAACTTGTGCTACTGTGATAAAACTACGCGCAAAACCTTATAAATGAGTATGACTGCCAGAGATCCGGACGGTGAATGACTTTCAATTTCGTCATTCAAGCTACGCTCGAAATCTATCGGTACTTTGCACCAATCTCTCGTTCATCCAGAGGTTCTTGCAATCCAAGCAAGGAAACAAAATAATGTTACAGTCTCAACTGACTTGTTCTATATGGTTTAGATCGCAGTAGGTGTGTCATAGTTCAATACAACTACTATATTGCGGCGTGGCAGGATCTAAATGTTCCAGAAGGCCTGATTCAGTGCTCAGCGCTTCGCGCTTGCAGAATAGAAATAGAAGCAGAACAGTACACCGGTCGGAATTCTGATCATGGCATCGAGTGTCCTAAACTCAGGCTGCAATAGGACATCGAGATAGCACTACTACTATAGTAGTTTGAAAAATACATTCAAGTTCGCGAGCACAGGTGCTTCTCAGCCGTATGCGATTCCGGCGCTATGTCAATACTTTATATTTAAGGAATCTTGACCTCTAAATAAAGTCTAGTTCACCCATTGGCGTGTCCACCTCAAATCCACTACATCTGGCGGGATTACCAAAAATAGTAAATTGATGCGTGCAAGTGCAGTGAGTGATATAAAGGTCTTCCAATGAGTCGAGAAGTTTTTTCCTCCTGGTTTTACAAAAGACGGGGGCCAGATAGCTGGCCCCCATTTCCCAAGTGTTGCCGCATCTGGGATGAACCAGCCATGGTTCACTTCAGTTATTGGTTATTTTTCAAGGAACCAAACTTTTAAACACTAGTTTTGAGATTCACAGATCACTAATGACGGTGATTTGACTCGCAACCCATTTACGAAATGGTGAAGTTAACGACAGGCTTCCAGAGTCTGATCAGAAATAATAGTACTACATGATAGTGTCAACAGGTCCTGATCCACAAGTGTAAAGCATAGCAATGAGCAAATAGGTATGTATATGTGCGAAAGGGTAACTAAACACACAAGAAATGAAAGAATCCAAGAGTCATGAAAGTACATACAAAAAGATAAGCTATTGCCTAATCGGCATATCAGGGATCAGATAATGTAAAGGTTTTCCTTCAACTCCTCCAGGCCCGAAGCTAGACTTGTGCGCCAGCTCCGGCTGAACGACATTTTCGCTACTCGTATTTGCTGAACTTCCATTGCTGCCACCCTTCTCTTGATCACGGAGTTTTGACTTCGAAGAGCGTGACTTTTTAGATGCCACGGACTTCAGACTCTCACGCTCGGCTCGAGTCTGATAATGACCGGAAGATGCGAGCGCGGGTGCAGGGAATGTCGGAGGGACGGGGTCAGCAAATGGTGTCGTTGCAGGGAAGGGCGAAGTCGGAGGCGAGACCGCAGAGGGGGAAGAAGAGTCCGCGTACGCGGGTACAGGCTTGCGTGCCGTCTTGCGAGGAGCATTTGCGCCATTAGATGGAGTGCGCGCAACGGTAGCCGCAGATAACGGTGAAGTGTCGGGTGGTGTTGCGAAAGGAGACTGTGCATATGATGCAGAGTGGTCTAAAGAGCGTCGAGCCTGTTGTGAATAGCGATGGGGGCTCTCGGAAGGTGTTGTAGAGGATGTTGAATGAGTCCGCCCGTTGTTGTTGATTGGTGGGGAATTGGATGACGAATGGCGATATGGCAACGTGGTTAATACCATTTCATCAGTAGGAGAGCCTGCGAATTTCTCATCGGTCGGCGAACCGGCGTATCCGCGATAGGAACCCGAACGTGAAAGGCGGTTCCCGTCACTTGGAGGACGACGAGCGCCTCCATGGGGCTTAGGGTCACTAGATAGTCCATGATTGTCCACAGAACCGAGGCCACCCCAACGGCCTTCGCTAACTCTGGCACCAGCTGCGAAGTCTCTTGAAGACTGGGAGAACGCAGCACTGGGAGCACGGGCATGTCTTCGCCTTCGCTTACGGGCAATGAAACAATAAAGCGCTGCAGCTGCAATTAAGACAACTGCGCCCGCAACAACTCCTCCAGCAATTGCACCTGTGTTGTCTGGGGTGCTAGATGCTGCATCAACGGGAACATTTGGTGAGGACGATGCGGATGTTGCATCGCTGGAAGTGACTGAGCTGGAGGACGACGTGGCGGGCAAAGAGGATGTGGAAGAGGGACTGAGGGACGATGATGAAGATGCAGTCAGGCACGAACTGTCTGTTCCTTGTTGGACGGTGAAATAGGAAGAATCCGTCAAGTAAGGAGGGGAGGAGGCTACAACGGCAACAACTTCGTATACACCTGGTGGAACTGCAAGTGCCGTTATGTTGAGGTTGCCTAGAGTGGGTGAGATGTCAGAGGCTACTAGGATATCAACGTCGTCGCGGCGATGAAGACTCCGGGATGATGCCCTGTTGGTTGATGTTGGTGACGACGACGACGACGTTGTCGTTGCATCCTGAGGAACTCCAACATTGGAAACGAACAAAGAGAGAGAGTCATCTGGACCAGAGTACGCCCAGAAGATAGACGCGGGTGCGCAAGTGGACAGTTGTAGATCAGAAATGCCAACGAAGACCAGTAGAGCTGTGCTTGAGTCTTGACGAGCTGCAATATGAGTGGCGGAAACCTGGGCCACCCACGAAGCCACTAAGAGAAACCACGGCATCCTTGAAGACATCGTCAAGTACATTGCGTGGGCAATATACGACGGCCCCAGCAGTCCGTCCGCTAAAGACCGTTCCCATCAACTCTAAAAACAATAAAATGGCCACATGATCGTCTGATTACAGGTGTCTCTGTCAGCAATTGACCAGTCGGAAGTCACACAACGGTCCAATGGTCTAGTGGTTATGATTTCTGTCTTACAAGGTGCCCGCACCCTTCACACAGAAGGTCTCCAGTTCGATCCTGGATTGGACCAAGTTTTTGAACAGCCTCTCGTCATCTGTCCAGTGGCGGGGCCAGTTGGTTGCCGCCGCCCAAAAGGTTCCACACACAAAAAGAGGAAGAACTGGTGTGACTTTTTCAGCACCCGCTCATCCCAGGCCTTAGCTTGACCCACCACACATCCGATGGTCATCATGATTTTTCGCTTCCCTCCTTCATGCCAACGCCCAGTTCACCTCGCTTTGTCGTTGAGATTGGCTAATTTACCCGAATGCTGCGTGGAACCGTGGCAATTCGTCATACATTTTATTGAGCATCGCTAATTTGCATTGCTATGATAAAGGAACGACCCACTTCACCCCGAAGATCAGTTAGAAAGCCGCTGAGGCTCAATTGGCCCATACGCCGTCGTGAATCGATAAAAGGCTGTAGGAGCGTTCGATTGTACATCATCAACAGCAGCTTCCATCTCAAGTTCTAATAGGTTAGCCTTTCTTCACCATCTGTACTGGTTCACCTTGTTGAGCATTCGGAATCAGTATATTCGAAAACTGGCACAATGTCGACATCTCTCAACGGTAAGGGATCAACGATGACTCTATTCCTGGCTTCCACTGATCTACGGTCGCTTTAGACAAAGTTGCAATTGTTACAGGATCGTCAAGAGGAATTGGTGCTGCGATAGCTCAACGCCTAGCCGAGGATGGTGCGAATGTCGTCATTAATTGTATGTTTTTTCGCTTCACGTTCCTTGCAACCTCTTATTGCCTTCCAGATGTTAGCAACGCGCAACGCGCTGACGATGTCGTTAGCGAAATAAAAGCCAAGGGAAAAGGTGCTGCCATCGCTATCAAGGCCGATGCATCGACTATATCTGGTGGGAAGCAACTGGTAGAGGAAACGATCAAGGCCTTTGGGAAAGTCGACATCTTGATTTGCAATGCCGGAATCATGGGCAGCAAGACATTAGCCGAAATCGACGAGAAGTTCTTCGATGACCATTTTAATATCAACGTCAAAGGACCCTTGTTTTTGGCGCAGACTGTCGCATCACTTCTTCCTTCACGTACGTGTCGTCCCTGCCCGTTTGTTTTGAAACTGGTTAAAGCGAAGTTCTACCAGCTGGGGGGCGTATTATTTTCTTTGGATCGAGCTTAACGGACGCGACTGCTGTCCTACCGAACGGTTTGGCCTATGTTGCCTCTAAAGGTCAGTGTATGGCTCACGGACACCCATCCCCAGAAGTTAAATTTCTTCATCAGGTGCTATTGTGCAAATATCCCGGATCCTTGCCAAGGATTTGGGCGCACGCGGAATTACCGTGAATACAGTGTCTCCTGGCCCTGTTGATACGGATCTCTTCCGCGCAGGAAAGCCTGAAGCTGTCATCAAAGCCATCGCCGCACAGAATCCTAACAACCGCCTTGGTCTTCCGGAGGACATCGCTCCAGTGGTGGCGTTCCTTTCCAGCCCAGCGGCGCAGTGGATAAATGGTCAAAACATTCGGGTTAATGGCGTCAGTCAATTTAGCATCGGTATTCCTATGCGAACTCACATCTACACGTCAGGGTTTTGTGGTGTGAGACCTCCGCAGTAATAGGCAGAAATCTTGATGTTATGTTGAATTAGCTGTTCTTGCCGAATCGAGTGCGCCCCTTTTTCTTCCTGTGCCGCTTCGTGCCGCTCTGAGCTGCACCACATGTTTTGCCTCCGTTTTTTACTTCCGTTTGCGATCATAAAAGTCTATTTTTGATCTCTGAAATTCGCAGTACGCCAAATAAAGTCTCTCCAGAAAGTCCAGGTTTTTGGACACTATGCTCCGAGAAGAATTTATCTGAGCTCAAACTCTGGTCCATACTACAGCACAGCATCAGGCGTTATGAGCTCCTGACTCAATCTCAACCTTAAGTCGGCGGTTAACACTTCAACTGACAAAGGTATTCTCGTACGTGGGTCTTCTCGCTCACGCTGATGTGTGTATAGAATATATTCTTAGGCCGTTTGGCCGGAAGGTAAACTCTTCGTATGTATATTTCGGACCTTGCCTCTCCCATTGTATGAATACATTGCTCACACGACCAGAAGGTGTCAACCGCTGAACAAACTTCGGTGGCACCTCGCCATTTTTACCCCGCAGTTCTTTTCAAATTCTCTCAGGCGCTATGCATTGAATTTGATGTAATTCAGACGGCTCTTTCAGGGTGGCTATTACCTACGGTAAGATGAAGTTCATAATCAATACCATTTTGAAGTACCCTTCGGAACTCTACGGTAAGTCAGAATCCACCCCTTTTCAATTTGATTCACGTCTTTGTGTTGGGGATGCTATCTTAAGGCCATAGTATAGGATCTAGAAGGTCATCCTCGCATCCCATCCTCGGCAGGAAAAAGCCGTCACAACGTCTTCTCAAGTGTCCGAAATACAACAGTTTCAGAAGAAGAATTACGAGGGTGTGACTCGCAACTATTTTTCTTTCTTGATCTATGCTTAAATGCATATGACTATCTCCACTGCCTCCTGCCAATGATCATCGTCATCTGGCGATAGGCACGAACTTATCACGATAAACGATAGTGTGATGAGCGCTGGGTTAGAAGTCATTCGAGGGTTCTTTGAATCGTCATTGATGACACGAATCTCGACATTTCTTTCCTGGAGAGATTTAACTTCCTTGCTGCCTGGTCACAGTGGCTCTACGGACCGTGATTCCATTTGGTGTAGTTGTTCACTGCGAAGGGCGCCTTGCACGGAAGTTGTGGAGGAACCTGAAGGAACGTGCATCAAGCGTGCCAAGTCAATTTTTTTTTCATTTGACGTGCAAATCTCCGCCAGATAGAGGGCAGCTATTGCGAAGGCAACCCTTGTGTTCAGTCCTTTCAATGCATATACTGAAGATGATTATACTATTACAGGTGCCATCGCTATAGCTATAATACATAATACAGAAGAAGCTCACGGAACTAAGCGACGCCCAGCAGTCGCCGAGCGTGTTTTTTGGAGTCACCCCAATCAGCCCAAAGCCACTAAGTCACAAATAGACCATCCCCATCCGTGTTGCTTCTAGATTTTCTGGATACACGTCGACTTTGAATCACATTCCGTATTTTCTTTTGACTGCAGTCCAGGCAGGTGCCGCGATCGAGTTTCGCATAACGAAGACACCCATGTCTTGTTCAGGTATTCGATTTATGTCGACCCGATTCCAGTAACGAGACAAAACGTAAGAGATATCCTGAGCATCACCTTCCGACCCACGACTAGGGACTAGCATTCAGAGCATGGACAGCAAACAAGACTCGTGAGCGTACATTATCCAGGTCTTGAGTTTTGCTCGAATGAATTCTGAGACCGTGAGGAATGGAACACCTTGAAGCTTCATGACAGTGGTGTTGTCCAGGTGACGAGGGCCCGACTCTCCAGCTGCCAGTATCTCGATCTACGGGCCATCTCCACATGTCATGGATTAGCAGAAGCCTAAGAAGAATGGGCTTACATCGATAGGAGGGATCAGTCGACGATATGTGGCGTGGAGTCTGGCCGGGCGTAAGGATTGCAAGCACAGGAAATGTACAGATTTACTAACCTGTTGGTCCACGGCGAATTTGTCGTCGTAAAGTCTGAATTACCAGCAAGTGCATCACGCACCCGCCTAAATGGATGAGTATGGCCAAATTCGACTATGCAGAATATCTCCTGAAATACAAGTAAGCAAAGGAAATGAAGAGCCGTGAATAATGAGGACGTGCATGAGCCTGTGGAGCATTGGATAGAACTGCAGTTAGGACATTCCCATAGAACGCGTGTGGGACACCATTCTCATGAAGGAGGTATGAGAGGGCAGCAGCAGCTTCCAAAAGCCGTCGAGTTTCAGACATCGTAGCACGGGAGAGGAAGAGAGTAGAAGAACGAGGCTAGTGCATGTTATAAGTGAGGAAGAGGTAGCGGGAAGGACCCGGCAATTGCTGGATATGTAATAAGTCTGTGACGAGGGCAAGCAGCGAATCAACAGATGCCTGATCTTGTCGTCCAATCTGGTGGCCAAAAGCGGGGTATGTCCGATCAGTTGAGACCTGGCAAGTTGCAACATTCAGTCACAAACAGGGGCCCTGGGGATCCTTATTGACGGCATCGATACCCCAGCAGTTATCCATGTGTACATACACAGAAAGGCTCAACGAAGCGAAGACGCCGCAGATTTTATGTACAGCAAACGGTATCTTAAACAAAAGCTGGGGTAACGGATCACATTTCCGCCCAATTAAAAGGCCTGAATGATATGAAGGTACGCAGCGCCTGCAGGCCAATAGGTGGGTCGAATATAGACATGTTTTCCGATGCGGAAGAGGAAGATATCCGTAGGATGAGGTCACGAGGTGTGACCAGTGACCAGTGACGATCATGTGCATCACGCGGCCCTCGACATTGGCTTGAAATTTCCTTTGCCTCCTGCGCTTCTTGACATCGCGGCTCCAAAGGCTCTCAGCGCATGCATACAAGGCTCGGCGCATCAGCATCTAGTCATGTAATGCGAGGGCTTCGCAGGGCTACTGCCCCCATCTTACGCTCTACCACGGGCCAACGCTTTTGTATTTCCGCAAAGACCACATGTCTCCCCTTAGGCGTGAGGGATAGATCACAAGCTGTTCACTTGCTGTTTCGGGGCATTTCTTGGATGCCGAAGCAACCTACTATTGAAGAACAGCCCAATGACCAGGAGGATGATGCTACGAAAGCTGCAATTCTTGACAAGGTTATGAAAGGACGCCAGCCTACGGACCTCATGCTCCGCTGTAAGTCACTTTAATAAGATAAGAAAATACGCTTCTAAAAGCTCATTTCTTTCATAGGCACGATTCTGGATGCTGAAGGTTAGTTAGACTTTCACTGGTAGTTCTGCAACTCCCACGAGACCCTCTTTCCCCAGGCAGCGTAAAGACAATTTCAGGACATTTCAAAAAGTCCGATCTCAGTTCCGAACATGGATTGAATGTGAGTATGGTGATTGAACCGTTTCATATCCACCTCCGTTGACA